CACTTGTTATAACTTTTTTTTATTTAGAGTAATATTATAGTTCTTTTTCGGTTTAGAGAATTTATTTATTTTTAATTTTGGCTTGTAAACACATTCAAATAATAAATATTTAAGTATTTTTATTTTAAATGTTACCTTAAGTGAAGGTAAACACTTAAATTGAAAATAATAAATAGGTACTCGGCACTCCTCGCGTCGTATTCCTAGTCTGTCACAAGCACGTACTGCCTGACCAGCCGACTAGCCGGCAGTGAATCTCGAGAACGAACGCAAATCGGGTAAACGTAAATTCGTCCGGCAACTTGCTATGTTACTAGTAGCCTGGTCTTCTCGGTATATAAATATACAATATAAATATATTTGATATCGTTTACGTAATCGAGGGCGCGGTTTTTAAATTCATTGTTGCCAACCATGGACATATTCGGCGCCGTACTGACTAACTGGAATTTAAATTTCGCGCTGAGGATTCAGGTGGTAGCTCTGCTGTAAAAAATGTCAAGTTGCCGCATTTATTTATTTGTTTCCTGACATTGTCATTGGTTTTGACACTTCAGTTTTCTATTACGAGTTTTTGGTTTAAATAAATAGTGTTGTGATACTTTTAGCTTGAAAATGTTTACTAGCAGACCTTGCAGTCGGACATTGTTCTTTTTAGAACCTATTTTCGTGCGAAATGTATAAAGATAGCTTAATAGCCGTAAAAACTCATCGCGACATTATTAGAATACATATATTGAACGGGAAAGCGGTAGTAATGGTCCTTTATGTCCCTTAACTGCTGTTAAGAAGGTGAGTTTTGTTGATAATAACTGTTTATACAGGGTGTTTCAAAACAAATGCGAAAAACTTTAGGGGGTGATTCCTTGTTCAAAATAAAGGGTAGTTTGCTTTATAAACGTTGGGTCAAAAGTCAACCATTAGGGAGATATCGCGGTACAAAGATGGCGGAAAAATAATGTTTTTATTTTTATCTTGAAAACGAAAAAAGATAGACTAATGAAATTTATGGAAGCATTACTGTTATGAAAACACACATTTAGGTAATTTTTTTTACTTTTTTAAAATGAGTGGAAGGGGTTGAAATAAACTACCCCTATCATTCTTGTTAACGAAATTTAAAGAAAAATCTTATCAAACACATGCAAATGCTTTAATTTGGATAGTTTAGTTTGTTTAGAAACTTTTTTACTTCTTGTGTTTTTTTGATAAAACTCGCCGACTGGAAATTAAAAAATAAAATGTAAAGCATTACATGTCAGGACAAAAAAACATTTTTAGATTAAGAATCTAGTGATAATAACGATAATAATAATCATCTAGATAATAACGTATTGCAGTAGAGTAATGTCAAATAAAATAATATTAGGAACATCTTAAAAAGTAACAGCGGCCGACTAGATTTTTTCCTAAAAAAATTACAGCAGCCCACTAGATTCTTTATCAGAAAAGGTTTTTTGTCCTGACATGTAATGCTTTACATTTTATTTTTTAATTTCAAATCGGTGAGTTTTATCAAAAAAATACAAGAGATAAAAAAGTTTTTAAACAAACTAAACTATCCAAATTAATTTTTTTGCATGTGTTTGATAAGATTTTTCTTTAAATTTCGTTAACAAGAATGAATGGGGTAGTTTATTTCAACACCTTCCACTCATTTTAAAAAAGTGAAAAAATTACCAGAAAGTGTGCTTTCACAACAGTAATGCTTCCATAAAATTTTATTAGTCTATCTCTTTTCGTTTTCAAGATAAAAAATAAAAACATTATTTTTCCGCCATCTTTGTACCGCGATATCTCCCTAATGGTTGACTTTTGACCCAACGTTTATGAAGCAAATACCCTTTATTTAGAACAAGGAATCACCCCCTGAAGTTTTTCGCATTTGTTTTGAAACACCCTGTATTTACGTATTATATATATATATATATATATATATATATATATATATATATATATATATATATATATATATATATATATATATATATATATATATATATATATATATAATATTTATAAAATTTATTTAATATGAACTCTATGTGTTAGGCAATGAAAAGTCATTGACAACGAACTGTACAGAAGGTTTAGTTTTCAAGTTATTAGAATTTTTTTGAAAATAATTGGATTGGAGCATCTAACCCACATGTTAGGTGAGGATCAAAATAGTATCCTCTATGTATCCGCCTCAAATTATCTTTTCCAATCGATTGTAAACGATTTTTATTTAAAATTAGTGTAAATAATCTTTATCAATAATTACACGGCAAAGGCCAAGTTAGTTCATATCACATAAATGTTGCAACATTAATTATTCTTTTTTATATACCTTATGTTTACGTGAAGTTAATCTTTATGTTTATGTGAAGTTTTGGGAATTATTAATAGGAAAAATAGTATAATATAATAAATTAATGTAGATGACAAAAATATAGAATGTTATGTCTCTCTTAAAAACATAATTCCTTGATATTATGGCAATATAGGTAGTAGATTAAAGTTAGTAGTAAAAAAACAGAAAAGATCAAGTTGTTCTCAAACCCCTAAAAATATCTGCACTTATTTGAGAATCACTCTGTATAACAAAAATATAGAAGTTGTTAGTGTTTCTCTAAGTATAGTTTCGCAGACTTTTTGTATTATTCTTTATAGCCTAATTTTTTCTACCATTTGTATTAAAAAAGTTATACTCGTAATTCTGAAGAACACTGATCTACTCAATCAACTCCGTGGCTTTACTATTTAAGGAGGTACTGTCCCTTCTACTTTCCTGAAATATAAGCTCCGTCCTAAATTTTTCTCATATTTATAGAGCAGATCTAGGTGACGTTAAAGTCCCCATTGCACTAAAACTCGCGACACAACTACTTACAGATACTTACATAACAAACGGAAGTAGTGAAAGGAATCGGGAATTGATCACAGACGGTGTTGAGTTTCGGGAGGCGTACCGAGCGAGCCGACCACGGACTGGAACAGCGGACGAAAAGTAAGAAAAAACGAAAGAAAAATAAGGAAACTAAACACAACGGGAGAATAAATACACAGATCGGGATAAGTACGGACCGAAACTGCTGTTGGTGAAGCCGGTAAAATGCGGCTCGACTTATGGCACCGTTGCCAGATGGTTAGAGCCAGAATTCCCTTAAATATATGGAAATTGCCAAGCTTTGGAAAACGCTTTGCTGAGTTTTCTGATACATTTTCTGTTTTCTAGTGATGGGGATTCTTTTTAGTGAATCGAATCCCACGATTCAGTTTCTCATATTGACTCGACTCCTAGGATTCGTTAGTTGAGGAGCAGACTTACTAAATGCTTATTGTCCATTTTTAAGATTTTTAACCAAAAATGACACATTGTAAACTGTATACACCGAGTTACAATATGATGCCAGAAACGACGTGTTAAATACATTTTATCCATACATTTAACAACTACTACTTATACAGACATTACTTACATGTATACATGCATATAAAATAAATAATAACACACGCGTGAGTTTTTGAAATTATAACAAACTAGTGTGTTATAACTTCAGAGCTACACCATTTTGCTGCCATGCCTCCAGATGCTGTCCCTCCACTGCTTGAAATAGGCTCTGTCATTCCAACGGCTCGTTCTGGAATACTGACAGCATCTTGAATCTTTTTCGCAATCTCTATTTTATTGTTGATGGACTCTTCGATATATCCTTCCACAACCGTTGCAGATCGCCATCCTCCGTGTCTTTTTAACGTTGTCATGTTCACTCCTGCATTTGCCAGTAATGTAGCGGATCATCTTCTCATACAATGGCCAGTTTATTGCTCAGGATGTTGTAGGCCCAAGTACGTAGCAATTTTTGAAGATCTTCCTGAATCATTTTTCTTTAAAATCTGACTTGCTGGTTGATAATACTAACTACGACTGGAAACCATGTATTTGGGGATAGGGACCGTGGTAGCAGAACAATAAAGAGAAATTTCACGTCTAAAGGACAGTCAACAGCTTTTTTTTCAATTTTTTCAGATATCATCAAAACTAGATTTTTCAAATGTAGGTATACTATATATTTATGATGTTTTCATAAATTTTTCAAGTATACTAGTTTTTCGGTAAGTTTCTTGTAAGAAGCGTGGCAGTTTTTCTTTTTTTGGCAAAATTCGAAAAAATGGACAAAATTTAAGGGAAATATACAGGAGAATTCTTAAATAAGTGGAAACATGTAGAACTCGATAAAATAAACATATTTTCTCTTTACCGTTTTTCAAATATGCTCAAAATAACCGAGATATTTTACTTTGAAAATTTCCAAAAAAATTGAATTTTCCCTTCAATTTTGAGAACCAACCACTGGATCTTTTCTGGGTTTTCTTTCTTGTTAATTCAATCTACTACCTATCTCTATGTTGCTATATTAAAAAGATATTATATTTTTTAACTAAAAATTTAAAACATTTCCAAAAAAATTCTTCAAAAAATGTTCAATCTTTTTTTTTAAAAACCTTATAGATGTGTTTCTGGGGTTGACACAGTCGACATATTACGGTTTAAAATTCACCGTGTATACACATACCATATCGGCAAGAGACGTCTTGGATCTATGTTATTCCAAGGGGAGTGAAAGTGAATCACTATGGCGATCTTGTAAGTCGGGAAGACAAAGATTCAAAGTGTTTATTACCTTGGGAAAATACTTGTGCTCTTCGTTCTTTATTCAGTACCTCTTATTATAACGAGCGGAGGTAGGATCAATGGCAGAGGATGTTGAAGAGATATATTATCTCATCCTGTCATCAAACGCAAAAAAACAAAAAGAACAAAGAAAAAACTATTTAAAATATCTGTATAACTCTCAAAGAACACATTAGTTTTTTTAGCAGATATACCTATTATAAACTGTTGACAGAAATAACATTTTTATTCTGTAGATTTTCCTCTGGTGACAAAAAAAAAACAGAATTCTTGTCAAGAACAAGATAATCCTTTTAAAAAACTTTTCATTTACTTGCAGAGAAAAAATTCAGGAAAATCCAGGAAATTCTCTAACTATCAGGAAATAACCGAGTCGTCCGACAACTCTGCCCTATACGAAAATAAATACTCACGTGATTCTGAAAGCGGCGTGCTCGCAGAATAAAATCCGGCCTTTCCTGCAAGCCGGCAACGAGAAAATGGCCACAGGATTTATCAAAACTTCTTTCCATTTCGATTGGATTGAAGCAAAGGTTTGAAGGATGAGACGAGGTGCGAAAAGGGAATAAACCCTTTCCCTTTTAAGGGACAGGTGAGTTTTTTCTTCAAATAACCCTTTATTTAAAAGCGTTATATGATCAAAAGGGATGTGAATCGATACAGATTTTAAAATAGCTTTTGTATTGCATGCTTTCTTTTGTCGTGTTTGGCGGGGATTTTGTAATGAACAAGCTTTTCTGGATTTTTTTTTGATATTTGCATATTTTTGGTTTGGACATATTTACAGGGTGTCCCAGGTTCAGATTTTGAAAGCTGTAATGAATTGTATATTATTCTACAATAATCTACAATACATTACAGCTTTTAAAATCTGAAATTTTTTGAAAATACTACTAAGAAACACTTTTTTTCTAGTGACAAAATTGATTTTTCACTGACTAGCGACGGCGACGGCTTGGATATCCGAATGACGTTTCTTTTTTACTTGAAATCATTTATATAAAAAAAAAACAACAAAACACCCAGTATATAGAAGCCTCCCTAAACACAAAGTCATAAAAATTTCTCTGCGGAAATGCATCATTCTCTTTTTTCCGACTTTAGAATAACTGAAATCAGTTACATGGAAACGTGTTCCTGCTTTACATTCTAAACACTTTTCTTGTGTAGGTATGAGCTTAACCTAGTAGATACTGTAATTTAGACATCAATACCGAACCGAGATAAGACAAAAATAAACAAAAATGAACCAACAAACCAAAACGAACTAAAACAACGCTAACCAAAGCAATCAAAACACGCTGTATGCTAAAACGCGTCTGTTATATTTTACAATATTTTATCAATAAATGCAATTTTTTTTGAGTGTCTATGTTTAGAAAAATTGTGCATTTTCGCAGAAAAACTTTCATGACTTACTATTTGGAAAGGCTTCCAAGTACTAAATCAGTCCTGATTTCAGCAATTCTAAAGTTGAAAAACTGAAAATAATGCATTTCCGCAGAAATATTCACATACCTACTATTCGAAAAGACTTCCAAATACTAAATAAACAAATATTTCTTGTTCACTCTGTGTAATAAAACAGTACTAATTTTTTTCTAGCTTCAATTATATAATTAACTATAATAATTTTCTAGTAAGAATGGATATCTGTCTATGTAAATGATAATTTGTAGTCACTATTAAACAAATACACATTGTAATAAACATTGTTATTTTTAGTAAAAAAATGTTCACAGAAAATATTACGCGCAGTTTTTTGAAAAAAAAACAGAAAAAATTACTTTGTTGACATTAAATACCATACAATAAAGAAAATTATATGTAGTTTTGCTTAACTTAAATACCTATATTTATTTTACATAGGTACCTCTTAATAATTAATGCAAAGGAATAATAATTGTATTTTTTAAACAAATATTTAGATTTCAAAAAACTGTATTTTATTGTTAATAAACTCATGTTAAACACGGGTATGTAATGTTATTTTTGTATGACAGCTAATACTTTGAGTTAATTTGTAGGAGAATAGGTAAATTTACTTAAAAAAGATATTCCTAAAGCGATAATTGATTAAATATATTTATTTAATATAAATATGCATCTTTATAATTAATACTGCATAATTACAGCTGGAAAATTTCTGGAAATTTTGCCACTAAAACAACGAAATATTTATTTATGTAAAAAAAATATGTCTTAGAATCTACAAATTTATTGACTTTCTGCTACTGAGAAATTTATAAATTATTTGTCAATTTTTTAGAAATTTTGCGAATCATGGTATATTTTGTCACATCAAAAAAACATAAAATTTTAAAAATTACCAAGTCTCACAATGCAATTCATCTACTACAAAAAGTTGTAATATCTCATGCAGGTATTCAATAACTTTGTTATAAATTGTTATCTTCTCAATCTATACTAATATATAAAATCCTTAAGTGACTGACTCACTGATTAATCACGATCCTGCCCAAACCACTCAACGTAAGAAGCTCAATTTTGGCATACAGGTTGATTCTAGGGTGTAGAGGTTCGATAAGAAGGGATTTTTCGAAATTCCAGTTCCAAGGGGGTGAAACCACACCTCAAATATTACAATATTTTTTATTTAAAAAACGGTCAAGTTTCCGAAAAAAGGCTTAAACACGTATATTTTATTTTGTTTTTTAAAAATGTATAGAGGGTGTTTCGAAAAATCTGGTCATTGTTTAATAACATCTTAAAGCGCTTGACGTAAAAAGCTGATTTTTGGAAAACGGATTGACTTTAGGGTTTTTCGAAAATTTTCGAAACTCGAATTCTTACCACCCCTCAAATATTAGAATATTTTTTATTTAGAAACCGGTGAGTTTTTCAGAAAAACTCATAAACACGTATATTTTATTTTTTTGTTTTACATATTTTAAGATTTTTTAAAAATTTATACAGGGTGTTTAAAGCTGATTTTTGGCAAACCGATTGACTGTGGGGTGTAGAGGTTCGATAAGGAGAGATTTCTCGATTGTTTTTTCTCATGCTGACATAAATGTGAGAAAATTTTATCCAGTTTGTATGTTAATGGAAATTCTTGCTTTGCTTTATCATCACCATTACAAATGATTAATTCGACGCGAACGAAGTCGCGGGTACACGCTAATTACCTATAAACATTTGTAGTGATTGTATCAATACTAGACATCTTCATTTCTATAATATAATTATAACGACACCATAAATATAAGAGAATAATCTAATATTTTGATTACTATAAGTAAATCTAAACAGTCTTTGCTAATGAACTACTTTAATTATAGTAGAATATGTTGCCTTGCAATTGACAAGTCATTATAATCATTATAGAAATAAAGATGTAATATTGATATGGTTGCTTATAAATGTTTATAGGAAATTAATTAAAAACCAGTTTATAACAAAGTTGCTGAATAGGTGCTTCTATCGACAGTAAATCATATAACTGATGTGGTTTTACATGAGCTCTTACAACTTTTTTTAATGGAAGAAATGCAGCAAAATAACTATACTAATTCATTACAATACACCAAAATGCTTTACTTTTAACAATGGACTCGTTTTTCGCTAACTTTATCAGAAGATGATTAAAACTGAGCGATGTTAGCTTTGTTCTAAGATTAAATCATTTCTTTTTATTTCGCTGTGGTAACACTAAAGGTTCCATCCCCAACTGAATGGAAGAAAGAAGTTATAATATTTTTTGTTTTTGTTACATTTTATAATGTCTATTACGATCTAACTGAAAATCTGACGTGAAACATTATAAATTCTATAGCATAAATTGTAAGATGATGTATATTCAGTAATAACGTTAGAAGACATAAAATAATAAATAATTATTTAAATAATAAATAAAAATGAAGTAATATCAAATGGTTAAATGGCTGGCCAATCCTCTTTTAGATGTACGATTGTTATAATTTTTATTGGGTTTGTAGGACAATGCTAAATGTAATGTGTCCGCTGATTTTTGCCGTTGTAACATTTTGTTTGTGTGTGTTGCAACCGATCGACGAGGACGCTATGTTTTTCGTTATATAATTTCGACGAAGAACGCATACAAATGCGATTGATACCAATTTGTACATAGCTCAGTGTGTTTATCATTACCGCTGGAATCTAAAGGTTGATATTTTTGACCATTTGCTACAAAATCTTCTGTCTCCAGTAGACATAGTCAAATTCAGAAGGTTGATGATGGTCTCTGGCATTCCAAACGTCGCACGGTGGGGTATTAGCATGAAAAAGGTGATCGAAATTCGAAAAAGCAAATGTGTTTAAGAATTCACAAAAAAAGATAAATGATAAGTTAAATCATCTCTGCCATGAATGGCGTTGCTATGTGTGTGTTTAGTTGCATTCATTTGTTTCAACGAAACGTCAAAGTTGTTACTTCTCACAGATAAGAGGTAAATGGCTAAATTTTATGTTTAAAATTATAAATTGTTGTTGTTCTTGTGCTCTTTTTACGTTTATATTATTGTTTTGATTGAAAATGGCTCAGCAAGCTGCAGGTATGTATTCAACAAAAACGTATTATTTATTTTGATATTCTTTATACTAACGATTTTTTTTGCAACTAAAAGTTAGGCGTTCAGAAAATTTGATTAAATTTGTGACATTTTTATTATACTTAGAGATTTAGTTGCGCATTTCGAAGAATTCAGCATATTGTCTATATACGTTTTACTTAGTAAACATTGGGCTTTCATACAGTAAAATAAAATACTGCGACTTTTTGCGATTTTGCTGATAAAATGAGAAAAACATTCTTGGTTTCCTCTAATTTGCCAATCAGTGATATACTAATGCGAGGTGCAAACCGCGATGGCATTGTTGTGTACAAAGCGATCGCATTAGTGCCATTAGCAGTATAGCACAATTTGGCATTAGTAGCGACTTTAGTGGTATGGGCATTGCTCGCCGATCAGTCGTAGCATTAGTAGTAGTAGTTGCGATATTACTACTGGCACTGACCGTGGAAACACTGGAACAGTGATTTTTCTTTCTTTTTCTAGAATCGTCGAATTATCCTTTATTTTGTTCATATTATTTCCTCTTTAATTGAAAATAGCAATAATTTATATAAGGTCTACACAAAAATTTTCGATCAACTATCTGTGTCAAATACCCCACTGTGCGTCGCATTCGAAAATAAACACTATCATTTTGTAGACAAAATAGTATATTGTTTTATTAGGAGTAAAAATGACAATTTTTCTGGCGAGGCTGTACGTTTGCCATACGCCGAGGCACAAAAAAAAATCATTTTTACTCCAAATAGAACATGCTATTTTTTTCAAACGCCACAAATAATTTTTTAAACAATTTCAAACGGCTGAAATAATAGGTATAAAAATATTTAAAAGTCATATATTGTATGTAATTATATATCGAGAAACCATGGTTATGCTTGTTGAATTTGACACTTATGTTAGTTTAATAATATATTTT